CTACTGGCAATACTTTGCTTAATGCAGCCCAGGATATCATTAGCCAGCTTTGTCGTATGGACACGATGCTGGCTCATGTTCGAGTCAGTGCCCACCAAGACCCTGAGCTCCTCTTATTCCCAGCTGTGTGTCCGCTCAGTGTCCTGGGGTTGTCGAACTTCAGCAGGCTTCTGTCAGCCCGTTTCTCCAGCCTGCCCAGGTCCCTCTGGATGGCAGCACAGCCCCCTGGTGTATCTGCCACTCCTCCCACCTCGCCACCTCCTGGCTGGCTGAGGATGCACTGCTCCATCATCCAGATTGTCAGTGAAGATGCTGAACAGGAGCGGGCACAGTAATGACCCCTGTAACTGACCCCTAAACGGACTTTGCACCACCGATCACCACCCTCTGGTTTTGACCATCCAGCCAGTTTCTAATGCAATTTATTGCTCATCCGGCTTCATCAGTTTTTCTATGAGGATCTCAAGGCAGACAGGTATCAAAAGTAACATTCAAGTGTCCCCAGCCTTCTTTTTGTCACCTAAATACCTGGAAAAGCCATTCCTGGTGCCTTTAACATCTCTTGCCACATTCAGTGCCAGTTGTGTTTTTGCTTTCTAAACCACCTCTCTGTGGGTTCACATGGTGTCTGTATTCCTCTCAGGTCACTTGTCTCACTTTCCACCTTCCCTGTACTTCTCCTTGTACCTCCTGGCATTTTTGCCTGACTTCCTATTCATTCAGATGGACAGCTCTTGAGCTCAGAGGTGGATGTACATCACTATTAGCTAGCTTTCTTTGGTCCCTTTTTCCTACAGGGCCTTAATTCACAGGACTCTTTCAAGCAGATCTTTAAAAAGGCCCAAATCTGCTCTCACTGTTGTGGTCTTGCATTTTGCTCTGCTCCTTCTGCTCAGGATCCTGAACTCCACCACCTCATGGTTAATCACAGAATCACATTGATTGCAGAATCATGGAATCATAGGGGTTGGAAGGGACCTCCAGAGATCATTGTGTCCAACCCCCCTCCAAAGCAGGTTCCCAAATAGATGTCCAGGTGGGTCTTGAATATCTCCAGAGAAGGAGGACTCCACAACCTCCCTGGGCAATCAAAATAATTGATGAGATGCCTTTGACCTTGACAGCTGCCCTGCTGAAGCTGGCTCAGCAGAGCACCTTCCCCTCTTTTATCACTTGGGTCATGAAGTTGCCACCAATGCTCTCCAGGAATCTCACACTTTGTGCTCTGCTGTGTTGCCCCTCCAGCATACACAGGAATGGTTGGAGGCCTCCAGAAGGACCTGTGAATGTGAGGCTCTGCCCGTCTGCAGAGGGCCTCATCCAGTTCTTGTTCCTGGTCAGGCTGGAACTGCCCACTGCCCTATCTCCAGAGCTCTCTGCTCTTTAATCCCAACCCTTATTTCTCAGCTGCTTCCTCCCTCAGGCAGAGCTCCACGCAGGAATGCTGCTCTTTGCCCTGCCTCCTTCATGCGTACACCATTTTCAGGGTTCTCTTAACAGCATAGCATCAGGTGGGCCGACGTGTTAATCTATTGTGACATTTCTGAAAGGAGCAGTGCTTTGTGCACTTGGTGGTGGGGATGCTGGCTGAGCGCACCAGCCCAGCAATGCACTCCTGGGGAAGGTAAGTCATCGGGCTGGGACTTTTCTCCCTCAGAGCACAGGGATGAAAGCGTGCTGCCCACCGGTTGTCGGAGCAGCTGCAGCACACCTTCCTGCTGCAGCAAAATGCCTGCTCACTGGGCACCCGGCGCTCCAGCAGCCTCAAGAGCCCCGTGTTGTGCTTCTAGGTGCAGGTGTGGGACACGGCCGGGCAGGAGCGGTTCCGGAAGAGCATGGTGGAGCATTACTACCGCAACGTGCACGCCGTGGTCTTCGTGTATGACGTCACCAAGATGACATCATTCACCAACCTCAAGATGTGGATCGAGGAGTGCAACGGGCATGCCGTGTCCCCGCTCGTCCCCAAAGTGCTGGTAGGGAACAAGTGTGACTTGAAGGACCTGATCCAAGTGCCGTCCAGCATGGCCCTCAAATTTGCCGACGCTCACAACATGCTGTTGTTCGAAACCTCAGCCAAGGACCCTAAGGAGAGCCAGAACGTGGAGTCCATCTTCATGTGCCTGGCCTGTCGGCTGAAGGCGCAGAAATCGCTGCTCTATCGCGATGTGGAGAAGCGGCCGGGCCGGGCGCAGAAGCTGGAGCAGTCGCGCGACGCCCACGGTAAAAGCGCGTGTCCGTGCTGAGCGCCTTCAATAAAGTCTGTGCGGAGCCCTGCGCTCGGACTCGTTGCTTTGCTCGGCGCGCATGCGCGGCCGGAGCGGGGCGCATGCGCAGTGCGCGCCGCCGCCGCCATCATGAAGTAGGTTCGGTGGGGGGCGGGCGGGGGGTTCGCGCCCGGCCGGTGCTAACGGTGCCCATCGCCCTCAGCCCGCTGACCAAAGTGAAGCTGATCAACGAGCTGAACGCGCGGGAGGCGGAGCTGGGCGTGAGTGAAGCGGTGTCGTGGCACGCCGAGTACAAGGACAGCGCCTGGGTCTTCATCGGTACGTGTAGGCCGCGTGGGGGGGGCGGTGTGGAGGGCGTGAGGAGAGCGGCGGGAGGCTGTGCTGAGCCCTGAGCTGGGCTCCGTGCTGAGCCTTGAGCTGGTCTCTCTGATGAGCCCTGTTCTGGGGCTCCGTGCTGAGCCCGGTCGCCTCACATGGCTGCCCCCTCCCCTCCCTGCAGGCGGGCTGCCCTACCAGCTAACAGAGGGGGACGTCATCTGTGTGTTCTCGCAGTAAGTGCCCACCCCCTCCTCTTGCTGTGCCCCTATAGCCCTGCTCTGTGGCTGCTGATGGTGTGTTTCAGGTACGGGGAGGTGGTGAACATTAATCTGGTGCGGGATAAGAAGACCGGGAAGTCTAAAGGGTTTTGCTTTCTGTGCTATGAGGACCAGAGGAGCACCGTTCTTGCTGTTGATAACTTCAATGGGATCAAGGTGAGTGCTGGGGCTGCAGCAGCTCCTGGAGCACTGCATCACGTCAGGGAGGAGCTCCATCAGCCACTGGCCCACAGCACATGCTTTGCTGCCTCCTGTCCTAGATCAAAGGAAGGACGATCCGTGTGGACCACGTGGCCAACTATCGGCCTCCCAAGGATTCGGATGATTTGGATGATGTCACAAAAGCCCTCCATGCAAAGGGCTGCGGGGTGAAAACGCCACCTCATACGTCGTCAGATTCCTCGTTGGAGGATGACGACACGCCAGTCCAAAAGCAGAAAGGTGAAATGCATTTCTACCAGTCTTTACCCTGGGTGGGAGGATCTGTGTGGGTCTCAGGGACTCTTAGCTCAGCATACAGCAGGGATAGGTATCCTCTTGAAAAGAGATGCAACCCTAATGTCCAGGCTGTACTCTGTGGTCTGTGTCACACTGCCAGTATTTACCCTTATCTGTGATCATTGACCCCCACCCTCCAAAGATCCTAGTATGAAAGGATGTTGCAAGGGGGGAGAGGTGGATGGACAGTGGAGGACAGGGAGAAGAAAGGTTCAAAATAAAGCCCTTTTTTTTTTTATTAAAGAAAAAAAAAAAGCTGGTGCTCTGTAACAGAGCTTGTGGAGATGATGCTTGCAGGACTGTCCATCTCTAAAGACGAACCTTTTGTTTCAGATAAAGAGAAGAGTAAACATGATCGGCAAAAGCAGAGCTCTCAGGCTGCAAAGAGAGCAGCGTCTGCTGAAGAGGCACATCCGAGGATCAAGATTAAAAAGGAGAAGGAAGATCCTGGCTATGACCGATATGCTGGTGGGAGTCAGCAGTCCTGCAGTGAGTCTGAGAGGAAACATGCGAGCAGGACACAGCGAGATGAGGAGGAGCAGAGGCACCAGAGGTCTCTGGGGAGGAGAGGGGAAAAGAGCTCTCAGGAACACAGAGGGCAGAATGGTTCACGGGAGGAGAGAGGAGAGGTTAGCAGGAAGGGTGAGGGGCATGGCAGCCGGCGAGAAGAGTGTCCTGAAGGAAGCAGATCCAGGCACCGGTGGGAGAGCAGCACCAGAGAGCCCCATTCCAAGCACAGGGAGCGTGGTTCCACCAGAGATTCCAGCCATCGCTGAGCCCTGGTGCGAGCACCCTCTGGTCCACAGCTGTGCCCACCAAGAGACAGCTGCGCTCTGTGAGCTGCACCAGGAGCTGTCTGCAGCTTCCTGGTGTGTCCTTGAAGGTACCACAGCTGGTGGTGCGTCATCTCACACACAGCTTTGACTCGTTTGCTCCTCAGACAAGGCTTTCTTTGTGCTGTGGACTGGGATGTGAGCTCTGTCGCTGCCTCGCTCAGCCCTTCTGTGCAGTGGCATCTCACAGACAGTTGTGGAGGGGCTCACGGCGCAGCATGGGCAGTAGGGGTGCTGAGCAGCAGGATGCTATGGACCCCAAACTGCCCATGTTCAGTGGGAGCACCCCTGTCTGCAGCGGGGCCGGTGGGAGCCTGCAGGCGGGCATAAGTGCTTTGTGCCCCCAGCCTGTCCCACTGACTTTGTTTATGAGATGGACCTCCAAGGCTGTGCTGCTGAGCCATTGCTGTTCATGTTTTTTGTTGTAAACTCCTTTTAATAAAATTGATCCACTAACCAGAACAGACAACACTGGGAGCACCGCTTCTGTGTCGGGTTATCAGGGAAAGGTGAACTCTTTCGTTGTGCTGTTTGGACTGAACATCGACGGCAATGGAGAGAACGCAGCGATGACTTTGAGCCGCATCTGGTTGCTACCGGAGCCCTTGCTTCGCTGAGTAGCTTTCTCCGCCGTCTACCCAGTGGGTTTCGGGGTGATTTCAGTCGGTCTCGCAGCTGCAGCCCTCGCCCGTCTCCTCGCTCTCCGTTCTTAGCGGGCGGCGCTGATGGAACCGGAACTCCGAGAGCGAGCTGCTGGCGCCTCGCCGCCAGGGGGCGCCATCCGCCTGCAGTGCGTCGCAGTGCGCTTCCGGTTCCGGGCGCTTCTGGTTCCGGGGCGGGGCGAGGCGAGGCAGTGTCCGGCCCGGCGCGGCGGCGCGCTCCGCCATGCCATGTCCGCGCTGAACTGGAAACCCTTCGTGTATGGCGGGCTCGCCTCCATCGTGGCCGAATTTGGTGAGGTGTGGCGGGCGGGCGGCGGGCATCGGCGCGGGGCCGGCGGGGCGCTGACGGCCGCTCTCCCCGCAGGCACGTTCCCCGTGGACCTGACCAAGACGCGCCTGCAGGTGCAGGGCCAGAGCGCCGATGCGCGGTTCCGCGAGGTGCGTTACCGCGGCATGTTCCACGCCCTGTTCCGCATCTGCCGCGAGGAGGGCGGCCGCGCCCTCTATTCGGGGTAAGCACGGAGCCGGGGGGGGCTGAGGGGCTGCGCGGGGCCGGCGGCGGTGTGAGGGCGGTGTGTCGGCGTCGCTGCGGGATGGTCACGGCACAAGGCGCCTCTCGGCGGCCGGCGCTGCGCCCCGTGGTGCCGCCCTGCTGGGAGCTTCAGCTGCCGCCGTTTGCTCCCTCGCTCAGGATCGCCCCTGCGCTGCTGAGACAGGCGTCCTACGGCACCATCAAGATCGGCATCTACCAGAGCCTGAAGCGGCTGTTCGTGGAGCGCCTGGAAGGTCTGTGGTAGGAACGTGGTGCAGCTCCTCTGCCAGACATCCGCGGCGCGGTGCTGCATGCTCTGTTCTGTGTGGGTTTGCTCGTTCCTTTCCCTGCCCTTCCCGGCTCTGGTTCTTCAAGAGATGGAGTTCTCGCTTCGTGCCGTGTGGCTGTGTTACATGCAGGGATAGGCTGCAGCACCAGTTGGAATCTCACTGCACTTGACGCCGCCCACAGTTACAGAAATGGTCCGTAAGCTGAACATGCTTTCCCCAGCTTTCATCTTTGTTTTGCAGCATCAGATCCCAGGAAACCTCCAGTGTACTGACAGAGGCCCATCTCTTCTCATTAGCTTCAGGAAAGATGTCATATGTATCTTTATTACTTGAAGGGAGTGTATAAACAGGAGTGGGAACAGCTGTTTACGAGGGTGGATAGTGATAGGACAGGGGCGAATGGTTTTAAACTGAGATGGGGAGGGTTAGGTTGCGTATTAGGAGGAAGTTTTTCCCCCAGAGGGTGGTGAGGCACTGGAACAGGTTGCCCAAGGAGTCTGTGGATGCCCCATCCCTGCAGGCATTCAAGGCCAGGCTGGAGGTGGCTCTGGGCAGCCTGGGCTGCTGGTTGGTGACCCTGCACACAGCAGGGGGTTGGAACTGGATGAGCACTGTGCACCTTTGCAACCCAGATCATTCTGTGATTTTGTGGTATCCCAGCTGTGCTCCCTGCACTGCTCTGTGTTACTTGGGTTGTAACCTTCACTAGGAAGCCTTTCCTGTTGTCCTCTTGAAGTCCTTCTGCTGGAATACAGCAGCTCTGGTTAGGAAGTTGTCCAATTCATGAGCTTTTGCAGTGATTAAAGAGATAAGAAACAGTGTGTACTCTTGACTCTGGTGACAGGAACCTCCGTTGCTCTTACTTGTATGATAGTAGAGCTGCCAAAGTTGAAGATTTCTTTACTGAAGGAGCTGCACGTGCAGTTCTATTATCCTGTCCCATCATGAGTGAATACTTTATGATGTTCAGCCTGGGAAAGTGAGGTGTGAGATTCACACCAGCGAGAGGACCAGGTGTGCAATGCACTAGGCCTGTTTTCCAGGGGCTGTTCTCTTCTTGAGTGACGCCTCTCCCTGCGGATGGTTCTGTGCGTGTGCTCTGGGCTGCCCACCTCACTTGTTGCAGCATTTCCAGTTGTGAGTACTGTTGTTTGAATGTTTGTCTCCCTACAGGCCTGGGGCAGCACGTGGCCTGGTCTCCTCTGGGAAGTGCTGTGGTCAGTACCAGCAAAGGGCCTTTTTTCCAATATAACCATCAATCTAATACTGGACCTGGAAATCTTGGATTTTTTTCCTTCTCTGGAACTAATTGCCTCTAACTTTCTCTGCCTGGATCGTCTACTCTCTATTTTTCAGGGAGGCTGCATATTCTGAGTGTGGCCAGCTGGCTCCAAATTAAAACTAATTGATGTCAGATTGCCTTGAGAAGTGTTTAGTTGCCCCTCCGTCTTGCCATTATCCATTATGAGAAATGCATCCCTGGGCGCTGAGATCTCAGATGATTGTTTAGCACTTTCTTGTGTAGCAGCCCTTTATTTGTCTGATCATCTAGATTGGCAGTCAGACCTGCTTCTCTCTGACAGCGTGTTGCTGTTTCAGCCTCTGCTTTTTGTCTCTGGCAGCTGCAGATAGGTCTGCTGTCAGCTGGTGGTGAATGGCCAGTTTCTGCTTGTGCAGCTTCACCATGTGATTTGTGAATTTAGCTTTTGTGTTCTTTCCAGAGCTGCTTGCTCAGTGCAGCGCCTTCTCTTCAGACCTTTAGGACCTGACTTTCTTTTCTCGATTGCAGATGAAACGTTGCTAATCAATGTAATCTGTGGAGTGGTTTCAGGGGTGATCTCCTCTGCCCTTGCCAATCCGACAGATGTGCTGAAGGTAAGAAGTGTGTGTGCCCAGTGAGCCCAGTGCAGTTTGTCACATGCTCCTGCTTTCTAACAAAGCTGCATCTCTCCCAGCTGCAGTGAGGTGCTCTCTAAGCCACTGCTGACATTAGTTCTGCTCATTTGGGCTTGTTATGAATGGGAGTTGCTCTCTTGTTCCTTTGTGCCAGGAAATCAATTGAGCTCATCGCCTGCTGATGCTGTGCCCCTCACTTGCACATTTCTTTCAGATTCGAATGCAAGCTCAAGGCAGTTTGTTCCAGGGTGGCATGATAGGCAGCTTCATCGACATCTACCAGCAAGAGGGCACCCGAGGCCTCTGGAGGGTGAGCACCACTGCTGGCAACCCCTCACCTCCACTAGCATGAGAATTAAAAGCTTCCTCAACTTGTTTGCTGCTCCTTCTCTGAGCCCAAGTGCAGCTCTTGAGGAGAACTGTGAGCCAGGGGAGGCAGTGAAGTCCTTCTCCTCGTTAGCAGGCAAACGGAAGCATGTCTGTGTGGAGATTGGGTCTGTGCTGTGGCAGTGTCAGCACTGGGCCAGTCAGACCTGGTCAGAGCAGTATGTAGGTCTGGGCAGGTAGATTGGGACTTCTGTGGTATGGGATCTTTTCTGGTGTTGAAATTTCAGTATGCTGGTGAGGAAAAGTGAATTATAGCCTTATTCCTTTGTGGGCTAGAGAGAAGCAGATCTGGTTAATCTGGCTGTAGTAAAACTGCTAGGGAGGAGGATGGAGGAGTCCTCCTTGGCTTTGGAGGTACAGTGGGAGACAGGGAGCAAGCTCTACCTCAAGCTTCAGCTGCAAGGTGGGATGATGAGGGTACCAGGTGTCCTGTCAAGAGAAAGACAAGAGAGGAGGCTGGGAAGAGGTGTTATGCCAGCTGTGGGTCTCAAGGCAGCAGTTCATGCTTGTGACTGACGTTTGTGTTCTGCAGGGTGTTGTTCCAACAGCCCAGAGAGCTGCCATTGTGGTTGGGGTGGAACTGCCAGTCTACGACATCACCAAGAAGCACTTGATTCTGTCAGGCCTGATGGGTGATACAATCTTTACCCACTTTGTGTGAGTATTTGCTGCGGTTGCTGCGCTCTCCAAGCTTGGCAGTGTGTGAGGCAGAGAAGCAAGGTGGGATTTGGAGATCTGTTTATAGAGCAAGAGCTCTGGAGCTGCCAAGAACAAGCTCAGTGCTTCTGAGGGATCTGCTGTGTTGACTGGAGCAGCTATGGGTGCCCAGAAAGCATCCCTAGAGAGACCTCCCTGGAGAAGGAACGTGGCAGAAATCCTTCTGGTGAAGTGAAATAAAAGCTTGAATTCAGTTCCCTGGTTACCAGAAATGCCATTGCTCCGTTTTGCTGCCACGGTGTGAACCTGGCAGGATTCTAGGTGTGATGAATGGTAGCAGAAGGTGAAAGAGCTGCTCCAGTCCGAGGTTCTCCTCTACAGAAGATGTCAGATTGCAGGCACTATCAGAGTTTTATGAAACAAACAGTTGCAAAACTGATACTGGAAGAATACACTGAGCAATCTGACCTAGTTTTGAAGTCAGCCCTGCTCTGAACAGGGGGTAGATTAGAAACTTCCCAAAGTCTTTCTTCACCTACATTTTCCTATTATTCTTTTAGCAGACACTTTAGCTGGAGGTGTTCAGTGCTTCTGTTGGGTTTACCTGCTGTGGGCTGAAGGTGACAAGCACTAGACCATGTGTGCAGGGAGGAGACTGCATGCTCCCTATGGCTGCCTTTGGTCTTCCTCCTTCCCTGCCACGAAGAAATGTTTGCTTTGGGGAGAAGGATGTGCATTTCCAAGAGCCTGCCTTCAGGTCTGTGTCACCCTGTCAGCACTTGCTGGACTGCAGACAGCCCTGTGGAGACCTGGCAGTGGGCTCTGGCAGGATCTTCATCAGATGGAGCTGAGCATTTTGCTTCCTTAGCTCTCTGAGTCTCAGTGTGTGCTATTGGTTCTGGGTGGGAGCAGACAGGACAGCTAATGTTTATTGCTGAATGCCTTTCGTGGAATTGAAAAGTACTCTTGTGCCTGTCTGAGCTCAGAGCTATTTCTCTCTAATGTTCTGGTACATCTAGGTCCAGTTTTACATGTGGGCTGGCAGGAGCAATTGCCTCCAACCCTGTGGATGTGGTGCGGACACGGATGATGAACCAGCGAGCGATAGTGGGCAGTGTGGAGCTCTACAAGGGCACTCTGGATGGTCTTGTGAAGGTAAGGAGGTGACACAGGTGGGCAAAACGCTGTTTTTAGGAGGCTGGCTGCTGTTAAAACATGGGCTGGGTGAGCAGACAGTGAGGTGTGTTGAAAACTGGCTGAATGGCCGAGCCCAGAGCGTGGTGGTGTTCTCACAGCAGAGCTCCTCTTTGGCTCTACAGAGTCTGTGACTGATCCTAAGTTGAGTGATAACTGATCTGTCTCTTCTTTCCTCCCAGACATGGAAGAGTGAAGGGTTCTTTGCACTCTATAAAGGTTTCTGGCCTAACTGGCTTCGGCTTGGTCCCTGGAACATCATTGTATCCTTCACTATGCTGCTGGGAGGTGATGAGTGTGGGCAAGCAGGGGAAGACTGAGCTGTAAATGGAAGTTCAGAGCAGATCCCCTGTTAGGCTTGGACAGACATTGACTGCAGGTGCTTCGAGTGCCAAAAAGCACCACTGGCTGTGGCTGCTCCTTCTGACAGCTCTGTGGTGGTTTATGCAGGGACTTGCAGTGCAGCAGCACAAGCATTTTCCTGTAAAGTGAGTGCTTTCGAGTGCGTGGCTTTAAGCTTTCCATTGAGCCTGAGCTGCTGCAGTCGCAGCAGTTTCAAGATTGGCTTCTGCTTTAGGAGGGAAGCCTGGGGAATATTCTTCTCCTGAGACAGGTGCTGACCTGCTCTGCAGCTCAGTCACAGCTGTGTTGCTGTACTGGTTTCTTCATTCCCTCTGATGTGGTGTATAGAATTTGTTTTAAAGAAGTTCCTGCTTAGAAAAACCCAGTTGGAGTGATTTCCCTTTCCTAGTGGTCCAGGCAAGCCTTGGCCACCTTGATTTTTGGGTCAGTTTCTTCCCTCTCCTGGTAGCCTCCTTCCACAGCTCTCTTCCATCTGTACAAATCACTTTATGCTGCCTGGAAGAGGGGGATTCCCCTGTTGGTTTTCAGCTATGCTATGCTGATCTGCCTGCCTTGCCTTGTGGGGTTTGGCCTGGTTATGAGGGAGGTGCATTGCAGTTGCTGGATGTATTTGGCCTAATTCCTTGACTTTCCCTTCAGTTTTTTATCACATATGAGCAACTGAAGCGACTTCCATTCTGAGAGCTAGCTTCATTCCACGAGTGTCATCTTCAAGGCTCACAGCAGTGTTTTGCTGCAGCCTTCATTTCACCATCCCCACGTTTTGATGTTTTGTTACATGTGGGTCTGGATTCTCCTCCTCCCCCACATTTGTGGTCCCTGAAGGTTGGTTCTGGCTGAAGTGTAACTGGGAGGCTGATGGCAGGTACTGCATGCTTTGTTCCACACAGAGGCGAGTGTTCACTGTGCACGAGTGTCTGGGCCTGAAGCAATATCTTCTGTGAAGATCTGTGCATTCCAGTGGCCTTTTGATGCAGCTGTGGTTTGTTTGACTCACGTACTTTGTTCTGCCATACCTGTGGGGCAAGGCTGGAAGCTGGACAGGGGTGCTGTCATGTTTTCCTGTAACCTCATTAAATTATTTATTGACTGGATGGCATGAGTTCGTGTTTGTGCAGACTTAGCATAGGTATATTTTTTCAGAGCAGATGCTGTGTCTGTCCTTGGAAACATAAGGGTTTTTTTCCAGCACACCATATATCCTTTTTTTCCCCCCTAAATACATTATTTTTTCTTCAGTCTTCAAACTTCATTGCCATGAATGCATTTCTAAAAGACAGCTGGATAGTCAGGAAATGATGGTGCCATAAAAGCAGCTTTTATCCCTCCTTCCTTCCTCCTCTGTGGGAGAGCTTTGGTCTGGATGAAGGTTCCGTGTGATGTGCAGCAATGCTTCCTGCTTGAGACTGCTGCAAAGTGACCTCTGTGCAGATTGCACAAGGGATGTTCAGCCAAACAAAGGAGAGAGGCAGATATGGGTGGTTCTGTAGGGACCTGGTTGAATGCATGAGGAAGGTGAGGCCTCTGGACTCGTGGACTTGAATAGTGCCATGAATGGAGGTGATCCTACAAGGCTGGAGGGTCAGTTCCAGAGGTAAACTGCAAGCTACCAGGGGCTGGGAGCAGAGGATCGAAAGCAAACGATGTTTGCATGCTTCAGCTTGCCTTACTCTTGAAAAGCATTCTGAATATTCAAAGTAAAGACGTAGAGATGTGATGGGTCAGTGTGAATCCATTGGAGAGAAGAATGTTAACAGTAATTCTACACATTCGTTTGGCTTCCTTCATGTTTCTGTAGCTTGAGTTCTGGAGCAGAGCCTTCTGTGCAGCTGTGCTGGTGGTTGTAATTTCCTTGCTGACAGCCATTGCTGTCCCATCTTTGTTCTTCAGGAGCAAAGCTCTACAAGCAGCTCCTCAGAAATGCATGAAGTGTATTTGTGGCCTCTTATGGGTTTTTGGCTTTGTTTTTTCTGATGTGAAGTGCTGGGGGGAGGCTCTTCTTTCCACCCTCGGCACCTACATCCTGCCCTGTGCCATGCTCTGCCTTTGGCTGCCTTCTCAGCTGTACCCTGACCTTGGTTGTGCTCAGCCTCTCCTGAGCAGCCCGCTCGCCTTGGTTGCTATTTGACTGAGGAAGGCTGAAGCCTTCCCTGTTTCCTGGCAGCTCTGGTTTTTCCGCTTCTTGGTCCAGGAGAGGCAGCTTTATTTAAAGGGCTCAGTGTTATTTCTTTGGTCCCTATGGGATGAGGCTGCTGTAGTTCTGGCAATGACCCTGCAGAAGCCTCATGAGCTGTACCACCTGTACATCTTGGTGGGCTTTTCTCCTTTATCTGCACCTGTGTCAAAGCCAGGCACTGGCTCTGCTCAGGTCCTTAGCGCTTGGCTGGGCTGCTCAGCTCCCTGCCTGCCACCACAGCAGAACCACTGGACAAGGGGGAGTGATCAGGGCGTGATCCTGTTGCTGAAATGGACCACAGCCCCCAGGCAGGTCTCGTGGTTGCAGTAGGAGATGATGGAGAGGCCGACAGCAGCATGGGCTGCCCTGGAATGGAAGATGCTGAAACACCCTGTGCAGGGGGCTGCTGCCCTGCTGGTGGGGCAGGGAGCCAGGGGAGCAGGAGTGGGCTGTTAGGGAGGAGAGTGGCGTCAGCCCAGCCTCACACAGCCTTCCTGTTCAGGGCTCTGAGCTCACCCTCCTGCTCTCGGGTTGTCTGGAAACGTGGCACGAGGGGAGGGACCTCCGTGGGCACAGCGGGTGCTGTGAGTGCATCGGTCCCTTCTGGCACAGCAGAACTCTGCTCTGCAGCCTGAGGCACCACCTGGAGAGCGAGGTGCTGCACTCACAGCCGCCCATTGCCTGCTTACTGAGCTGTGCCTACTGAGAAGCCCCAGGTGAGGAATGCTCTAGGGTCGTGCTGTGGACATACCATCTTTGGGTTGTGCCCCGCAGTGCCAGACATGGCTAGCTTGGCTATGGGAATCATCCTTGCTGTGCTGGCTCCGCTCATCATCGCTGCCAACGTGCTGGTGGCCATTGCCCTCCTTCGCCTTATCTGGAAGACCGGCTACAAGGGACACTATTTTGTCCTTAATCTTGCTGCTGCAGATGCCATAGTTGGTTTGTCGGTTGTAGGTCTGGTCAGAGGGGAGTTCTTTGAGCACGTTCATCCCAAGCAGATCTTCTGTGTCCTGCGAATGGCTTTTGTGACATCCTCTTCTGCTGCTTCTATCCTGTCCCTGACCCTGGTCGCGTGTTACAGGCACCTGGCAATCAGAAAGCCTTTCCACTATCACCAGCTGGTCACGGGCACGCGGGTAGCGCTGCACTTGGTGGCGCTCTGGCTGCTTGCTGGTATCGTTGGCTTTCTCCCACTCCTTATCCCAGGCTTTCGGAAGATCTCCCTCGAGGAAAAATGCTCCTTCTTCAGGGTCTTCCACCTCAGCTACATTCTCATTATCTCCTGCATGGGCTTCTTTCCAGTCCTGTTTCTCTTCGTTTACCTCTACTGTGACATGTTGAAAATTGCCTCTGTGCACGTGCAACAAATCCGGGAAGCGGAACGTGCGGGGTTGGCCAGGGGCAGCACCAGTGACATGAAGGCCATGCGCACCGTGGCCATGCTGGTCGGCTGCTTTGTGCTGTCCTGGCTGCCATTTTTCATCGCTGGCATCGTGCAAATTGTGTGTACCAAGTGCTTCCATTACAGAGTCATTGAGAGCTACCTCTGGCTGTTGGGACTGTGCAACTCCCTCCTGAACCCCTTGCTCTACTCCTACCGGCAGAAGGACGTGCGGCAGCAGCTCTCCCAGCTGGCTGCTGGTGTGAAGAGGAAAGTCCTTCATTTGGGGAAGGGTTGCTGTTTCCCCAGCAGAGGGACCGAGTCCATTCCTGCTGTGTCGTGCTTGCAGCTCCAGGATTGATGTGGTTAGGAGTGGCTACCGTTGGCTTTCTTTCCAGCTTGTCTCCTTCACCAGGACTGTGAACCTGAGGGCTGCCAGCTGTGGAATAGATCCTATATGGGGTAGGACAGCTCTGCGTGCTTAGACACAGCACAACCAGCACAGCCAGTTCTGCACCAGCTCCAGGGCACCCCAAATTGCAGGTGCGTGGCACATGTTGAATTTTGCTTGGAGAGCTTCAGCAAGAGCAGCTTAGTGTCCGGTGGGACCAAGCCTTCCACAGACTGAGATCACTCACTTTTCACCTGGCTGTCCCCAGCCCAGACCTGAGAGCCTTCTGCTGTCCCTTCTGCCTTGCAGCACAGCTGTCTGGGCCAGTTTCCCCACCAGCACATGGGGCAGGGCTGCTCTCACTGTGTTGGCTCTGTCGCTCCCTATCACTGCCTTACCTAAACCAAACTTGCAATCCAACACATGCAATCTGGGCTGTCCCTCAAACCATCCTCTGATTAGGATCGATCTTAGAGGCAGAGGTGAGGGGTCTGGGGTCTCTGCTGTAATGCAGCGGGGAAGGGGTGGCTGTTCTTTGGCTTATGTGCACTGGAGCAAAAGCTGAACAGGTGTGGTGTGCCTGGGAGAGGTGCAGGGCAGCACCGGTTTGTGTTGTTACTGTTTGGTTTGAGCTGTAAAGCAAGTTAATGAGTGACTGACTCAGTGCTGAGCAGGAAGGACTGCCTTGGAGACAGGGAAAACCTTGTGTGGAAGAGCTGCTTTGTCCCACCGATGCCATAGGGCTGTTTATGGGGTGATAAGGATGCCTCTACACTGACTGCAGATGGGAGCACACAGCACTCGGTGCACCTCGTGCCACACAGCAGTGATGGACAGACTGCTGGTCCTGCCAGAGGCTGTGATGTTATCTAATTGCTTTTTGTAAAATTGTAACGACTTGTAAAATCCACACAGCAGGAACATTTCCCTTTAAAACAGGCTACAGAGCTAGGGACTTGCTTCCATCTGAAAACTGGGGATGCTTTATGCGAACAGTAGTTGGTTCCTCTTCTGTCACCTGCCCTGCTGGTAGAGATGAAGGCTCAAGGCTTGATCCCATACACATGCAGAACCTGCCTCAGTCCTGAGGCCATCCTCATCATCATCTCAGAGGAACAGATGAAAATAAAAGCACCCTCCTAAGACCAAAACAAGAGCAGCAGGCAGCTTGTGGCACCCATCTCTATGCCTGGGAGAGCAAACACCACACAACGGATCCTGTGCATGAAGGAAAGAGCCTGAGATAAGGCTCACACAGAACAGATGGACTCCGTGGGTTGAACTGATACCTCACAGGTGGGTCTGGTAGGTGGCTCCGCTCTGACTCAGTTGTGGGGATCAGCACATCGCGTGTCAGCGTGACGTGGCTGCTGTCCGCGCTTGGCACGGCGTGGGCTCCACCAGCTGTTGCTTTGCAAAGCCGACCCATCCTTGCTGAGTATCTGCCAACACTGAAGCCGTCCTCTGCCTCCTCTAACACGCCTGCGAGCGCCCATTGGGAACGGAGACAAGCGGGCCTCCTGCTCCTCGCGTCTGCTGCGGGCAGGGTTGGTGCTCGGGCGCGGGGCCGCCTGGCAGCGGCGTTGCCATCTGCGGCAGGGATGGCGTCTCCTTGTGCACGGGGGGACGGACTGACGGTACACGATGACACGCTTTTGTACCGAGCGGGAGGCGGAGCACCGACCCGCACTGCAGCGGGGTCCGTCCGTCCGCGTCCCCGATTCGCTCCTCCTCCCTCGGCTCTGAGATAAAGAGCGCTTCCTCTCTTTGCTCAATAAATCGCATCGCTGCCGGTCTGCTCGCTGTTCCGAATCACGGGGGGTGGGGGGAGGGTCGCCCTCCTCGGCGTTTCGGGGGCTGCGCCGCCCCGCACCCGGCCCCGCCGGCAGGAAAAGAGCCGAGCGGCCGCGGGTCCCCAAGGGGCGCCTGTGAGCTGCAGCCGGGATGGGACGCGCCCCGCCCCGCCCCCAGCGCCGCTCTCCCGGCATGCAGTGCGCGCCAGGCCCCGCCCCCAGCGCCACGGCAGCCAATGGGTGGCGCCGCAGGGGGGCGCTAAGCGGGGACGCTGGACGCGGATGTTCGTGGAGAGCGGGCGCGGCGCGGCCGGGCGCAGAGCGGGGCTGGGCGGTGAGTGCCGGGCGGT